AGGAATTCGCAGAAAGTCTCCCTGTCTTTGTGATTCCCCTTTGATTTATTCCATTACAATTGAGTGCTTGTGTTCCTACCAAATTCTTATGTTGAAATTCTAACTTCGTAGTTGATGGTATTAGAAGATGAGGACTTTGGGAGGGTGACTGTGTTATGAATCCAGCTTGGGATTAGTGCCTTTATAATAGATACCTCAAGAGTGAGCCAGCACCTTATATCTAAAGGACACAGTGAGGACACAGTGAGAAAATGTCATTTGTGAACTAGGAAATGTGTCCTCACCAGACCCTGAATCTACAGGTTTGATCTTAGACTTCCCAGTTTCTAGAACTGTGAGAAATAAATTTCTGTTATTTATAAATAACTCAGTCAGAGGTATTTTGTTATAGCAGCACAAAAGGACTGAACCATATCAATATCATATCAACTTCCCTTTTCCAAATTCACTCCCTAGAGTGTACATGACGATGCCTACTCTCAGAAGGACAACTAAGGATCTTCACAAAGCTGCCACTGTTTACCTTAAACATTGTTCCCTGGTATTCTACTCTCTGTCTCCTTCTCCTAAAGAACCAGCTCCAAATGCCTCATCACTATCATCCTCCAACACAGGTCTTTCTGTTCTTACTATTGCCTAAAAGGAGAATCTTCAGTCTCCTCTTTTCTGCATCTTTCTTTGTTTCTATTAGATTTCTATGTTCCCTGACCTAACAGGACTTTAGGAAATTATAGCATTTTTCCCTTCTCACAGTAACACCTATGCTTAAGTATCATTTGTTCTGTTTCATAAATGGGAAAACTGGACACCAGAGAGTTTATTTTATTTATTTTATTTTTTAATATGACAGTGGAATGCATTACAATTCATATTACATATAGAGCATAATTTTTCATATCTCTGGTTGTATAAATATAAAGTATATTCAACCAATTCGTGTCTTCATACATGTACTTTGGATAATGATGTCCATCACATTCCACCATCCTTGCTAATCCTCTCCCACCCCTCTTCCCTATCTAGAGTTTGTCTATTCCTCCCATACCTTATCCCACTCGTTTATTCACTTGTAATTTGTCTCTTTCCCTTTGTTCTATAATCACTATTATGAAATTCTCAACTGTACTCTAAATGGTTACAGCCACTTTTCTCTATTAATTAAGTAAGCTCTCAGAAGATAGCAATTTTTACTTAATCCATATTCTATACTTGGATGCTCCTGATATTATCAAAGCAGAAGTAGATTTCAGGAACATTTGGGTGGGTCTAGCCTAGGGATTGAATTTGGAAAAGTGCTCTGATTTTCTCATTTGTTCAAATTGATCAAGACACTCTTTTGAGTCATATCTGAGATTATTGGAAAGGAAAAGCCTTTCCAGTGGTGGTATGTTTCCTATGCATGTTACCTCTCAGATTCATGCTGAGAGTCATTTTCCTAATCATATATGGAAGTGGAGTGGAAAACCGATACAGAACTGTCCTTTTTTCCAGTTTTAAGCCCTGAATTCTAGTTTGTCATAAAGCCCTATGATGGGTAGAAGGCTCCTCCCGCCCACCCCAGTATTTATAGTACAATCTGTGTTTGGAAAGCTTGAGATTTTCAAAGTTCAAGTTCTTGGATCAGATTTATTGTCTTTATTTTCTATTCAGGAAGTCAGATACTTTCTTAAACAAACCTCATCTCTCCTAGAGGAGACTTATCCAATGGGACAGTAATTCCAGACACATGGATTATATGACTATGGCCCCTCTCTCTCATCCTGCTGGGACTTCTTGGCTCTCTCTTGCTTTCTTGTCTGTGATAGCCATTATCCTTCTAGGTACCTGACCACTTGCTCTTTATTTAGTCAGAAGAAAACCAGATGGTATCCCTCAAAGAGACAACTGGAATCCTAGCAGATAAATGTTCAGAATGTGGATCCCATATGCTAGGACAATTACAGCCAGGAAAAAGGGAAGCATTGACAATTTTACTTACAAGGAAATGAATTGCTTAGTTTTTATTTTTGTCTTAAACTCACCCTTTCTATTCTACCTTTGGTGAACATCAACTATTTCTATACTTTTCTTGAAGGTGTCTAGTTCTGGTCCTCAAAGAGGTGTCTTGTGAGAGAGTTTTGATCTCCTTAGAATCTTTGATATACTCTATCTTTAATAGGAATTCTTCACTAAGTTGTGAAATTAATTCCAAAGAAAATAGATAGTGAAAAGAAAGGAGAGGGTTTGCCCTGGGGCTAGGGGATGGCCTGATGGTAATCTAATCTCCTGGCAGAGCCTTCTACTGGATACCTATGTTGGGAATTTTTGCTGTGTCAGGTAACTATGATTTATAAATATGTGTTCCTGTACAGAGTATGGAAAGCAAAATCTTTGGAAGATTTCTAAGATAAAACACATTTTGGGGCAGAGAGATGGCTAAGATATCAGAAAGTAACTGTATTTTATGAAATAAAAAGAAAGAATTTGCCCTCTTATCTCCAAAAATGTCCATGAACACAGTCAATTTCCTCCTACCTCAGAGGAAAAGTCATTTATATGCCAGGTAACTGGACAATTGCCTTCATTTGCAACTTAAAATACTACTATAGCTGGGGGTCCAACATGGATTTATTTTTTCTGTTGGAGAGCCAGTCTCATGGTTTTCATTTTGTTTTTATTTTACTTGTTTGTTTGTTTGTTTTCCCCATCACCAAACTACCCAACACAAGGCCACAGGTTTTACCATTTGGATAAGTACTCACTCTTGGCTTCTAGACTTGACAATTTCTTTTGTGAAAAGAGGAGTGGTGTGAAGCCAGAAACTCTGTCCCTGTCATTGTTTTATTCAAGAGCTCTCACTGATGGCATTGCAACAACCCTCTGCTATCTTTTCTGAAACTTTATTCCATCAAATATTTCCTTTTCCTTCTGAATTAACAACTACCAATACCACTTGGGAATGCTTAATCTAAACTTTAAAGACATGCTTAGATCTTTCTCATTTTTGAAAACATAACAATAGCTTGTTTGCCTTATTTTTTTCCCCTTCAAAAAAAGCAAAAAGCACATCTTCACTTGCAGTATGAATTTCCTAGACATATCATATTTTGAATGATATCTGGAAAATTTACTTGGATATTTTACCAATATCTCAGGGCTAAAACTTTAAATCTAAATTTATTTTAAAATCCTCCTCTCGCCCCCATTCTCATCTCTAATTTCTCAGTAAAGTTTATTTTTTTCTGTCACACAAGCTCAAAAATAGAAACTAATCACTAACACTGTGACGTAAGATTGAAGGCCCTGTCTTATTCATCTTTCTTCAGTGT